TGGTGCCTCTTTCCCCGAAGGCAATGCAGCCCGCAGCCCAGCCGGGCCACCCCGCACCATGTTGAGCTTCCCTCAAGCCATCCTCCCTGCATCCTGTCCTTTCCTCCAGAGCCAGCCATCCCCTCCTCCTCCCACTCCTCGAGGCTCCCTGCGTCATGGGGAAGTCTCTGCACAGAACAACATCTGTATCTGATTACACGGGAAGCCACCCTCCACCCGGGTTCACTTTCACCGTGTCCATGTCCCCGTCTCAGAAAGCAAAGAGTGCTCTCCACTCGCAGCACGCAGATCAGTGAACTCTGGGGTCAGACGTGGTGTCAACCCCACCCCAGGACCTTGCTGGGCAAGTCACGTCTGCCTAATCTCGGGTGTCTCCTGGCTACAAACCAGAGGGAGAAGCCTGCCCTGCTTACCTCCAGGGTTGCCAAAGGCACTGGCTGGGCCGCAAGTGCCCTGCACACCTTAGGTATTATTGTAGGTATTAACTTGGGACGGGAGTATTTCATCAAGAGCACAATGGCAGTTTCACTTGTAAACTGGGGCCGACTCCATTGACTGGGTAACAACTTTATTATCAGTCGTAATCGTCAGCTTACAACCAGCAGCAGTTAGCCATCTGAAGCTCTGAGAGTGCTGTCTTCTTTAGGAGCCCACATTCAGTCTTGTCCTTCCTGTTTACTGTCTGATTCTCAGCTCAGAGTGGGGAGGGCTACAGGACATAAAGAGCATAGAGGAAGCAGCAAGCTGGCAGGAATGCGAACTCGGCCACAATTCAGCAAAGGGGAAAGTCGGTCTACTTTTTTTCCTGTGCCAGTGAGAGTTTTATCAAGGCACTAGCGCCTTTGGATCCTGCGTGAGTACTCCAAGGGCACCCAAGGCTCAGGTTCAGCAAGGGGTAGGGCCTAACACAGGCTTTAGGGAAGCTGAAAGACAGCGTGGCAGGTGGGCCAGCCCCACAAGGGAGAGCACACTGCCTGTATGGATTGGATGGTGGCCCCCAACACTATGTCCAGTCCCAAGCCCAGGAACGTGTCAGCATGGCCTTATTTGAAAAAAGGGTCTTTGCAGGTGTACTTAAGGATCTCAAGATGAGAGCATTCTGGACTTAGGGTGGGCCCTATATCCAATGACAGGTGTCATAAGAGAAAAACAAGAGGGAGATGTGAGACACAGCTACAAGGGAGAAGGTCATATGAAGATGGAGGCAAAGATTGGAGTGATGCAGCCATAAACAAAGAACACCTGGAGCCACCAGAAGCTGCAAGAGTCAAGGAAGGATCCTCCCCTAGAGCCTTGGGAGGGAGTATGGCCCTGGGACACCTTGATTTTGGACTTGCAGCTTCTAGAACCAAGAGAGACTAAATTTCTGTTTTAAGCCACCCAGTTTGTGGTGATTTGCTACAGCAGTCTCAGGAAACTCATACACTGCCTTTCTTGCTGGCAGGTCCCAGGCTCTCAGAGGTCTCCCAAGGTCAATTTGGCTTCCTGATACCACTCCTGAGCTGCTGTAGAAGAGCCCACTGAGATAGGACGTCTGCCTGGTTACTTGAGCCCAAGCCACCTGAGTAACAAAGGGAACTTTATTCTGCGTTGTACATGCTGGGGAGAAAGGGGGGTGGGGGTGGTGAAGGGAGGTAGTAAGGATGAGGAGAGAACAGGGGCTTCCTCTCATGACTCACCCTGGGAGCTTTCCTGTCCCTTGGGGATGACTTCAGAGCCCTTGCATGTGACACTCTTGTTCCAAGGCCCAGTATCGACTGTCCATCAACACCGCTGTTCTCCCCGTGCGCCCAGGCCCAAGGGACCCCAGGATCTATTTCAGCTGAAAGTTTGACTTAAGACTTGGAAGGCAGGTTCTGAGTTTCCAAGAAGCCATACAAACTTCAGCAGAGAAAGATCTTAGCGATGACATCCAAACCCTTTACTGTACAAGGGAAAATGAGACATTTTGCGTACTCTAGTAAAAGTATTTTTAAATTTTGTTTTCATTTCCTCAAGCCGCGTGCTGTGGGATCCCAGCCCCACCTGCCCAGATCACCAGCCAGTTTATCACTACAAGGAATTAGTTACATTCTCAAATGACCAGGCAAAAGGCTTCCTGTAGGATAGTAAGAAAAAATGGAAGAAATGGCCCCAATTTTCAAAAGAGCTTATTTTCAGACTTGCTCCTTCCTCCCCCAAAGCTGGGCTGCTCCCGACACGCCCTCCTTCTTCCCCAAGCCGGACCCCGACCCATGCCCCTGAACCTGCCGGCGGGGAAGGCGGCGAGGGGCATAGCCTCTGAATCCAGGCAGGGCTGCCAACTCACCCGCCCGCAGCCCCTCCGGGGCGGGGAGGCCGGGCCTTCAGCACGGCGGCTACAGGAAAAAGTGCGGAGGCGGGGGCGGCAGTGGCAGCTGCGGGGGAAAGGCGGGCAGCGGCCAGGGGTCGAGCGGCCAGGGGTCTAGCGGCGCAGGCGGTGCCTGCAGGTTGAAAGGCGAGGGCCGCGTGGGTAGCGGCGGCAGCGGCTGCGGGGGCGGCTCGGTGTTGAGTGGCGGGCGGCCGCGCGCGCCCACGGGCCCTGGCGTGGCGGCGACCGCGGTCTCGGGCAGAGGCGGTAACGGCAGATGCGAGGGCGGTGGCGCGGGCGCGGGGAGGCGCGGCAGGTCCTGCAGGGCGAGGGCGGCGGCGGGCGGCGCGGAAGACCAGGCCTCGGGCGGCAGGTCGGGCAGCGCCATGTGGGCGCCGGGGCCCCAGGGCGCCACCGGCTTGGGCCGCAGCGGGAGCGCGGGCAGCGGCGGCAGCTCGGCCAGCGCGAGCGCCGAGGGAGGCGGCGGCGGCGGCGCGGGGCTCAGGCCGGGCGGCAGTCCGGGCAGCGGCGGGTGCGGCAGGTACGGAGCAGGCGGTGGGGTCAGGGATAGAGATGCGCGGGCCCGGCCTAACCGCGAGTGGGCGCGGGCGCGGGCCAGCCGCGGATGCGAGCGGGAGCGAGGAAGCCGGGACGCCAGCTTGGCCACCACCGCCGCGCCAGGGCCGAGCGCGCATAGTCCGCGGAGGCCTTGTTTCTCCAGCAGGTGGCCACGCGCCGCCCTGCGAGAGACCCAGCCAATCGGAGCCGTGCGCCACCGCGCTCCACCCAATCAAAGGCCAATGCGCCGGCGACCTGTGCGTTTCTCCCGCCGGCTGGCACGAGCTGTCACTGGCAGCCAGTCAGAGGCAGGAGCACTCTCTGTCAACGTCTTCTTCCCTCCCTTCCCTCAGTTCCAGCCAATCATAGTATTCCGAGTTGCCGCAGGCTCCACCCCTCACCATCCCTGAGGCCAGGCGCTGCGTGTGCAGTGGGCGCCCCCAACTGGCCTGAGGGTCCATTTAGCCACGCAACCCCCTCTACAGCCCCGCCCTCCCTCCCTACAACAGCCAATGTGGAGAGTGTATGGATCTCTTTTTTTGGGGGGGTTTGCCCTTAGGGATTCTGGAATGATGCTCCTGGTGTAGGTCAAGATCTACGCAAATTCCCAATGAATGATCTTACAGAAAAGATGAAACGATATCAATTCAAAAGCAAAGCTTGACATGCAGCATTTGTGTTAACGTTGTTAAGAACGGTTGTAAACAACACAGATGGGTGACAATCAGGAAAAAATGAGAAATGGTCGATCTATTTAAAATTGGAATATAGAAATATTTATTAAAACATATTAGAGGGCTTCCCTGGTAGAACAGTGGTTAAGAATCCGCCTGGCAATGCAGGAGACACGGGTTCGAGCCCTGGTGCGGGAAGATCCCTACATGCCACGGAGCAAATAAGCCCCTGCGCCACAGCTACTGAGCCTGCCCTCTAGAGCCCGCGAGCCACAACTACTGAGCCCGTGTGCCACAGCTACTGAAGCCCGTGCGCCTAGAGCCTGTGCTCCACAACAAGAGAAGCCACCACAATGAGAAGACTGTGCACCGGAACAAAGAGTAGCCCCTGCTTGCCACAACTAGAGAAAGCCCATGCACAGCAACAAAGACCCAATGCAGCCAAAAATAAATAAATAAATTTATTTTTTAAAAAAACAAACAATATTAGAGGCCTTCCCTTGTGGCACAGTGATTAAGAATCTGCCTGTGCATATAGGGGACATGGGTTAGAGCCCTGGTCCAGGAAGATCCCACATGTCGCGGAGCAACTAAGCCCGGGCACCACAACTACTGAGCCTGCTCTCTAGAGCACGCAAGCCACAACTACCCACAATTACTGAAGCTGGCGCGCCTAGAGCCCTTGCTCCGCAACAAGAGAAGCCACCGCAATGAGACGCCGAGCACCACAACAAAGAGTAGCCCCCATTTGCTGCAACTAGAGAAAGCCCGGATGCAACAATGAATACTCAGTGCGGCCAAAAATAAAATAAATTAATTAAAAAAAAAACAATATTAGAACATTTCTCAGTGGGTTAGAAAGGATATCATCCACTGCCCTCACTGAGACCCTTTTCTCTGTGGCCCCTGTGCCCAAACGCTCCTCTTAATCCTGTTCTCCAGTAAAGAGACGATGTGGGTTATTCCACACCTCAGGTCAGAGAAACACAAGATGATTTTTTTTTTTTTAAAGAAATGACAAAAAAAAAATGACATCCAGGATTTATTTATTTTTAATAAATTTATTTATTTAATTTATTTTTGGCTGTGTTGGGTCTTCATTGCTGTCCACGGGCCCTCTCCAGCTGTGGAGAGCAGGGGCTACGCTTCATTGTGGTGCGCGGGCCTCCCACCGCTGTGGCCCCTCTTGCTGTGGAACACGGGCTCCAGGCGCACGGGCTTCAGCAGTTGCAGCATGTGGGCTCAGCAGTTGTGGCTCACGGGCTCCAGAGCACAGGCTCAACAGCTGTGGCACATGAGTCTAGCCGCTCGCGGCATGTGGGATCTTTCAGAACAGGGCTTGAACCCGTGTCCTCTGCATTGGCAGGCGGACTCTCAACCACTGCGCCACCAGGGAAACCCAAGATTATATTTTTAAAGAATCAATACTTCTGTGAAAAAACAAAAGTCTATAATGATTCTCAAATAGAGCAAATTAAATGAGGTAGGCTAAGAGAAATCAGTCTGGAATTCCAATAATGTTTATGCATTTACACTCCTCAAGGTTGTTCAACCCAAAACCTTGTGCATACTGCAGTCAGATTTTGGTCTACACTTGTTATCCTAAATCAGGCCACAGAAAGACAAGCTGAGTTCCTCATAGGGTGCCAAATCCCCTCAACTCTATTCAGCTGGAATTCTTCAGTTAAGACAAAACTTCACCAGATTGCAAAAGGTGTAGGCTTGGGAAGGCACAGCTCAGAACAGAGTCTCAAAGAGACTGGTTCCAGGACTAGCCAAGCCCTTGGTCAAAGTTCAGAATAGCAGATCAATCCCCAATTGTGCAACCTCCATTCTGGACCCAGCCTAGGAGAGTAATTTGCTTCCACATTTCTGGGTGATTAAACTTATAATCACGGGATGAGAAAACGAAGCAATCCAGTAGCACTGATTATTGACATTGGATTAGTAACTGGCTTTTTAAAATGTTTGAAAGTGTTCAGTAATCTGAGATATTAAATGTCTAATTTATTCATTTCCAAGAGGGGCTCATTTCCAAAAGCCCCTTAAGTGCTTAGGAAGAAGTTGCTGGTTGGATTTGTACACACGTACGCCACCCCCTCACCTTGTTAAGAGATCAAGTAGATTATGTGTGTAATTATTTGAAGTGTCTAAGGGAATTGAATTAATCAGGCTTGTAAAGCATGCTAAATATTTAGGGAGAAGCTGATCTGTCAAATTTATAATCTAATTGAGTACTAATCAAAGAATGTGAAGTGAGTTTTACATCCACATTATAAGGTCAATCAATAAAATGAGGTCTGGAAGCAAGTATAATGGCTTAAGGAAAATGAGATTTTTAGTTGGATCATTTTAATAAGTTAATTATAAATTAAAACACAAATGACGCACAAGTCCCCTAACTTGGACATGGCTCCATCGCCAGATTGTGACCACGTGATGCCCCCCTCCCCAAGGGCAGGCCTGAGTTCTCACATCTCTCCCATCTGAAGCACAGCCCCTGGCACACAGCTGTGTTGATGTTTGTTGAAGGAATGAATAAGGGGCCCCCAGCTGGCCCCCAACCCAGACAGTGATCCCCTGCACACAGCCCACAGAGGCAAACAGGGAAGCACATTGCCTTTATTGATAGTTCCAGCCCACAGGAGACCCCAGGCCAGAGGCCAAGCCCGAGGGTCTGGCCAGCCTCGCCAGGCAGACCAGGCTCTGATACAGAGGAGCTCAGAGTGGGCAGTAAATCTGCTCTGGAGCTCAGCATTTCCCAAGAGGGCAGCAGCCTGGGAAGAGGCAGAGCAGGGCCGTGGTGAGCCCTGTCTCCCTCCTTACCTCCTGGGGGACATGAGTCCTCTCCCTCCCCTGGCCTCTGAGGCCAGTCACCCAGCAGACACACACAGGTAGCCTGAGAGCTGGCTATATGTCCCCCCCCGAGGGCTGGGGGTGTCCCCCAGTGCAGCCTGGAGGGGCAACAATGGTGGCATGGGATGAGTGGGGGCAGGGGCCCTGCATTCCCTCTCACCTCCATAGCCATTTCCCATCAGGCCATTGCTGCCTCGCTTCACCTCAGGGCCCCCTAAGGCACACAGACAAGCCAGGGCACCCCAGTCACCAGACGACTTCGCAGTCCTCCTGCCCACCCCAGCTTTACCCCAGGCCCTGGGAGACCCCCACTCACCTAAGGGCCCAGGGCCCAGCTCTGGCCTCAGCTGCCCATAGGGCCCTGGGGGGAGGGGCAGAGGTGAGAACACTGAGTCCCTCCTGTCCCCCTGCTACTCCCTCCACCAGGAGTGCCCTCCCTCCATCTCTGCAGGGCTATAAGGTGGGCTGTACGGCTAGCCCCAGGGCCCAGAGCCCAGTTTTCCACAGCTACCCGACCCCTGATGACCCGTTCCCACACACCCCATTACCTGGCTGGCTCCTGACCTCTGGATATGCACCTCTGGCCCCATATCTAGGCCTCAAGTTGGCCCCCCAGGGCTGGAGGGAGGGCCAGGGAGAGCCCCTCGGGGCCCCGGCCTGACCTGAAGGAGGAGAGCCGGCTTGGGACTCCTGCCCACTGGAGTTGTACATTCAGGATGCCCCAGTCCTTCCAGGGTCTCAGAGTCCCTCACCCACTCGGCCTGGTCCCCGCCACCCTTGCTAGGGTTCCCTCTGCTCCCCCAACATTTCTTACCATTTCCTCCAGGGGCTGGAGCAGCCACATTGGGGCGCACAACTGCTGCCCTCTCATACCCTGCAAGAGACCAGGCTGACTCCTGCCCCGCCCCTGGACATCCCTTCCCCCACCCCCTGCACGGTGTCCCCTGGGTCCAACTCACCATTCCAAAAGCCATCAGTCCCAGGGAACCCTGAAGGAAGAAAGGGAAGGTCAGAGACAGGAGCAGCCCCTGAGCCCAGAAACCCCCACCCCACCCTACCCAGCAGCCCCAGGCACCTGGCTGTGCGCGGGCCTCAGGGAAGACCCCGGATCCCAGACCACCATTCCTGTAACCAAAACCTGTAGGACAGCGGTGGGAGAGGGGCTGGTTGGAATGGGGCGGGGGCAGCACTGGGGGGGGGGCCAGGGTGACCTGCTCATGGACAGGGAGGGGCAGACAGACAGACTGACTCAGAGGCAGCCTAGAGAGGACCTCCCACAATCCCCCACCATCATCCAGCTAACCCAGTGGAGCCCACCTTCTGGAAGCTGTCCCTCCCTCCCTCTGGGCACTTCCCTTTCTGCCTGCTGAGTCTGTCACTCTGCCCTCACCTGAGACAGGATCCCCCTGGCTCTGGCCACCACTGTGGTCCAGTGCATAGTACATAATCGCTGGGTGGATAAGGACGGAGACTGACAGACAGACAAGGAGCACTCACTGTGAGGGAGACATAGCTCATGCCCAAGATGGGGACCCGGGGGCTCACCGACTTTCTGGGGCTTGAGGCCACCACCAAAGCCTGGGGGAGAGGAAACAGGGGTCAGAGATAGCCGGTTTCGCCTCCCTGCTTCCTGCGCTGTTGGAGGGGAGAGGAGGGAGAACTCAGGCGAAGGGCCTCCTCACCCAGTTCTGCTCCTGGTCTGTAGCCATTCGGAGGCTGGTACCCTGTGAGGGGAATGGAGATGAGCAGGGAGGACCCAGACTTTCCCAAACTCCTTGGGGGCCCAGTATGGACCTTCCAGACTCTGAGGAGTAAGGGACTCTCCTCATCCACAGGGAATGGAACCAGAAGAAATGAGATATGAAAGCAGCAAGAGATACCAAGGGTAGACTCGGAGAGGGACTTCCTGGCCCTTAAAGTGCCTGAACACCTGAGATGACCCAGGGAACAAGGGAGATGGAGGAATGATCTGATCTGGTATGGGGTGGGGCAGGGAAGGCAGATGCACACCTGCTTCCTGAGGTTTCGGCCCCCACTGGATGGCTGGAGTAGGAACTAGAAGGAAAGCCAGGGGACAGGAGTGAGCCCAGGGTGGGGCAGGTGTGGAATGTCGCAGACTGCCATGGGGGAAGGGGCTGGGGGAGCTGTCATATTGGGGGTCATGTGGGGTCTCAGGGCCAGAGTTCAGGCTTTTCCTCACTGACTTGCTGGAGATCAGGCCTGGGGGATTCTGAGTGGCCCAGCCAGGCCCAGCCCCTCCTGGGACCAGGTACCCGCCAGGGCCCCTCAGGTCCCTTATCCGCACTGACCTGGGAACTTGCCGTTCTGCACTGGGGGAGGGGGCTGGGATTTCAGGCCCCAGCCACCTGCTTTATCTGAAGGGATCCCTGGAGTGGGAGGCCTGGCAAGAAGCCACGGAGGGACCCCACCACTGCAGGGACCTAGATGGGGAGGAAGGGAGGGGGCAGTGAGCCCAGGCCAGTGCTGCCCCCAGGCTGCCCTCCTGGCCTCCACATGGCCAAGCCACCCGCCTGTGGTGGCTTCTAGGGCAGACACACCTTCCAGGGGAGAGAGTGGCCAGGCCAGAAAAAGCCCAGCTCCCACGGGCCACAATCTGCTCTGGGGACAAGGTGACTCAGCCACCTGATGTGGTTCCTGCTATTGCCCACCTTGCCCTCCACCTTCCAATATCCCCCCACTTCCCTCTGTTCCCTGCCCCCTCACCTGGCTGGGCCCCCAGCCCATTGCCATTGCCATATCCTGGAGAGGAAAAGCAGGGATGTGAGGGACAGTATTGGGCAGGGGGGTTCTGGAAGGACAGCAGGAGGAGGTGCAGGACAGGGATGGGGAGGGCTCTGGCTCACCTGGTTTCTGAGGTTTCAAACCCCCTCCCAGACCTGCAGGAGAGACAGAGGCTGCCTCAGACCCGGCCAGCCCTTCCCCAGAAAGGAGCCCTCTGTCTCCCCTACTGAGGCCACCACTGAGCTCACCTGGAGGGAGCTGCAGCCCATTCCCTGATATGTATGCTGGGAGGAAGTGTGGGCATGAGGGCAGGGGCTGGGTGGGGGAGACTTCAGAAGGGGCAGAAGGGAGGCAGGGATGGACTCACCTGGCTTCGGAGGGCTCAAGCCCCCTCCCAGGCCTGGGGAGAGACAGACAGAGGCTGAGTGACAGGTGGACCCCACCCTGCCCCTTCTCTTCCTCTTTGCCCAGTGTGCCCTGTGCCCCCTCTTCCCCACCTCCCAGAACTGCAGGGCCTGACCCTGCCCCCCTCACCTGGCTGGGGCCCTTCACCTGGGAAGGCTCCAACTCCCAGCCCATTCCTATAAACTGGGGAGACAGAGTGGGGGGTTATGAGGAAGAATAAAGTGGGGGCAGTAGACAGTTTCTGGGGGTAAGAGAAGTGGGGGGTCCAATTCTGACACCAAGTCCAATTCTGGGGTTTTTCCAACACCACCAAGCAATTCTCAGACACCATCTGGGTGTCCTACAATTTAATTCAAGTCCGACACTGTCTACCTGGAGACAGCATCAGATCCCACAGGTCAAAGTCTCAGACTTCTCCCCCCACCCCCATCCCACATTTCAAGCACCAATTTCCAGTCTAAGTTGTCACCTGTGCTTCTGACCAACTGGTTGTAGATCAGAGATTCCCACCACCCCCTCCTCCTTGGGTTTGATTAATTTGCTAGAGCGGCTCACAGAACTCAGGGAAACATTTTACTTACTAGATAATCGATTTATTATAAAAGGATATAACTCAGGAACAGCCAGTTAAAAGAGATGCAAGGGACAAGGCATGTGGGAAGGCACAAAGAGCCACCCTCCCAGCACTTCCAGGTGTTCACCAGCCCAGAAGCTCTCCAAATCCTGTTCTTTTGGGGTTTTATGGAGGCTTCATTACATAGGCATGATTGATTAAATCATTGACCAGTGGTGACTGACCTCCAGCCCCTCTCCCCTCCCTGGAGGTCATGGAGTGGGACTGAAAGTTCCAACCTTCCAATCACATGGTTGCTTTTCCTGGCAACCAGCCCCCACCCTCAGATGACCTAGGGGCTTTCCAAAAGTCACCTCATTAACATAACAGAAGACATATCCCTCTCCCTCCCTCCCTCCTTCTCTCTCTCTCTCTCTCTCCCTCCCTCCCTCCCTCCCTCCTCCCTCCCTCCTTCTCTCTCTCTCTCTCTCTCTCTCTCTCTC